GTCCGATTCGTCGTCCGAATCATCATCAGAGATGGCGCCAGATCCAAAAGCACGGGGCGTGCGGTCACCAGCAGTGGTTGAGACACGAGAGGGACGGGGTGTTGCTTCATTATGAACGGTCGATAGCGACCTGATCGGAGTGCCAAAGCTATCTCCTTGGCGCTGAGAATGTCTGGTGGTCGGTGAGGGAGATGGTGACCGCGACCGAGCGCGTCGACGTGGACGAGGAGGTGGCGGCGCATTATCCATGTAATGCTTGACGTATATGCGGAAGGTGTTTGCGGTCAGGTCGCGCGTGTGCAAACGGGACGGATGTCGCAGTCGTGGTGCCTACGAACACGTTAGGGCATGTTCTTCAGCAAAAGCAAGCAGTGACTCCACTTACCAGGTGCTCCCCAGCTGTGCTCGAAGACGGAGAGGAGGAAGCAACGCTGGTGCTTGGGGAAGTTGTCGTCGAGGATGCAGCAGAGCGGACCGAAGCCGGAGTCTGCGGCTCTTGAGTCGCTGCACGCTTGGACGGTGACGTTGGTGCGAAACGTTGCGAAGCACTTGTGGCTGACGCCGGTAGCGGTGGTGGTATGAATGGCGGTAGCGGCTCAGAAGGATAGTATGCAGTACGATGTAGATCGGACACAGCGATGCAATGAGTCGATTCGTCATTATATGAAGCACAGGGTACTGCAGGAGTCAGCCACCTCCGCGACGCATGACGGGGATCACTCACCAATTTCGTCAACGAGAACGATGCGTGTGTCGTGTCGGATGACCACGCGGCCGACGACTAGTGCGGATTGACCCACACGAGCCACGGGCTTCGGGGGCGGAGAAGGCTCTGGCATGCTCCGTCTGCTAGACGACGCTATAGATGAAGATGCCGCGGACGAAGACAAGGGGACATTGCGAGCGGAGAGAAGATAATCTCCATAAGAGGGCTTTAATCCTTTCGTCGTGTCCTTGATAGATGCTGCAGGTTTCGCCGGAGGTGCTCGTTTGGCAGGGCTTGGAGGCGGTCGCGCTTGTGCATGGGCCATGGCGCAGTCAACTACCGCAGTTCCATCGTCGAGCGTGTATACAGTGCGTTTCTCCCAGACTTGTACACCGACTATAAGACCTACGAGACGCACTGTCCGACAGGGGATGCGACCCAACCAGAAGTACTCCATATCTGAGAGGCATGTCAGCAGACTTCTCAAGGACTTCAAGCACCAGTCTAAGTGTCACGCGAGAAACGAGATGGTCCTCGCACAGATCACAGGGCAAGCATTAAGGCCGGTCGTTCTCCGAGCTAGCTTCGGACAGTAACAACGTCCCGGGTGAAGTAAGTTGAACCTGAGCTACTCACCTTTCAATCCACATTCCCTCATCTCGAACACGTCCCTGACGAAGCAGGAAGCGACCGCTGCTTTCGTGAACGTCCATCTGAGTATCTCCGCAGGAATCGGCTGAAAAACCTCTATTTCTTCAATATCATTCCGCCGACTGCCATCTTCTTTGCTCCTCGATGGTTGCTCGCTGTCAGTTCGCCGACGCTTCGTTGGTGATAGCAAGATCGACGAAGTGTTGCGTGAGATGGTGGTTCTTGTTCGAGGTATGGTGGATGTGTGGCTCATATATCGTTCCTAGCTTAGAAGTTAACTGTGGGATATGGCGCGTCGTGCAGGCAGGTCCAGGAGGTGAGGCTGGCGTATGTAGGAGGTTGAAGTCAAGGCCGGAGGCGCGCGTCGCGTCGCGTTTCGTTCACGTGCAATCTACGGCAAGCCACGTGATAATCATTCGACTCGACTCCGAGAAGTCCGGATAGTTCCTGCAGCAGCTGCTCTGCTTTCTTCCACTCGATGCCTGGTTACCGTTCAATAGTCAGAACGCCCTGAAGAAAGTTGCCCTCAAGGTCTATATGCAATAACACGAACACCGGTGTCGCAATCATCGTCTGTTGAACCTGAACATTTCGGCCTCGCAGTACCCACGACCAGCCTTGGGCACCCGCCTCGATGCTGAGCCAAGTTACTTTAGTAAGCCTCGAGCATTCGTGATACTCAAGGCCGCACTGTCTATCTTGATGCACCTGATGGGATAAAATAGACCTCGACGTCTAACACGCCGCCGTGTCTCTGCGGCGCATACATCTCGGCGACTCTGCCTGATATCTTCGATGTTTTGCAAGCAAGGGACGATTGACTCTCAGGGTATGCCGACCGGACTATGCTTGGACTTTCTACCCAGCTGCACCAGCTTGCAACCGCAAGCCGGTCGGGGGCGACCCACACGACTGCCACACGGTGACCCACGCGTATGTCCGGATTTCCCTCTAATCTGGTGACGCGGTAATAGGATCTCGTAGGGCCAGCCTCTAGTAACTGGTACTGTACCTCCTTATAGGATGAGGGCAGCGGCAGATGACGCGTCGCGCGACACCGTAGTCGGCATCCACATCGTCTTGGGGGTTATAAAGAGTTGCAACGCTGAAGGATCTGCCACAACTGCAACGAGTCCCCTTCAGAAGAGAAGACAAAAAATTCAACGCCATCTGCCATGTCCACCACGGAAGAGACTGTATGGTTCATTACTGGGTGCGTGTAGACGTCTTCACTGCCAACCTCGCATTCTTTAGCTGACCATCCTCCGGCTACTTAAATCCTCACGACAGAACGAGCCGTGGTATCGGTTTGGAGATGACAAGGCAGCTCCTCCGGACTCCTTCAAACACAGTGATTGCGGCGTGCCGCAACCCCTCGAAAGCCGACGCGCTGCGCGCACTCGCGAACGGAAGGCTCCACATCGTCGCCCTCGACGTGGTTGACCGTGAGTCCGTGCGGAAGTGCGCAGAGGAAGTGACCGCTCTCGTCGGCGACAAGGGTATCGACTACCTCGTCAATAATGCCGGTGTCGTGAGTGCCTCTTTCTCCGATTACCGTACAGGCCGCGAAACTGATGAGAATGGGTGTTTGTTCCTGGCGTACGCTTTAGGCTTCGGGCGGTATGGACTCGGCCTACGACATGGACTTGGACGTCCTCCAGCAGACATTCCAAACCAACGTGATGGGACCGGCCTACGTCACCCAGTGCCTCATCCCTCTCGTCGAGAAGAGCCGGAAGAAGGTCGTCCTCAACATCTCTAGTGCCCTGGGAAGCAACGCGCTTGATATCCCAGGGGCGGGACATCTATTCGCCTCCTATTCTATCTCCAAGGCTGCCATGAATATGCTTGTACGTCAGATCTCCCGTTGTCACGCCTATCGCTCTCTTACCCGCAGCGCGCAGACAACCAAGCAGGCTAGAGGTAACAAGAAAGTCATCGTCGTCTGCATGGAGCCTGGCTGGCTGAAAACGGGTGAGTTCGGATCGGTTGCGTCTACCCTCGACCGTCGAGCCTCTGCACATGTCGGGTTTACTGATATGCATCCACAGACCTCGGTGGCCCGCACGCGGCGCTGGAAGTTTCGGAAGGCGTTGCGGGCGTCCTCAAGGTCATAACTGCAGTCACGCCTGAGAACTCGGGACAATTCATCGACTACAAGGGCGATCACCTGCAGTGGTGAGCGAGTTCGTATGTTACCTGTATATATCGTTCGAGAATCGAATGCGGTGGCATCATTGTGGCCTGTTGTCTCCGGAATGTGAGGGACAACCTCAGCCTTCGAAATTGAGTCATGTTCATTTGTTGTACTTGGTGACTCAGATCTCAGAACCTGTTGGAGATCTACGAATGTGTTCACGCAGTCTCTAGATCTGTCTCTTTACCGTTCTGTTTCGCACGCAATCGTCCAGAGTATAGTGAGACTCAACTTTCATGTATCACAGGCGCCCCGCCCCGTCACAGACGGGAATGACGACGCCCGTCCGCACGTCAGGCCTGAAAAGGCAACGTCCTTACCTGAATAGGCGGGCGGTGACCTCACCGTCGATTCCCTCCCCGGTGAGTCGCATACATAAACCAGAGCATCCTGCTTGGGACGTCAACTTCCCTTTTCCCCCTCGAACGACAGCACCTCCCGCCAACATGAGCACGCAACCCGGCCACGCCTCCAACCGTGCATCGGGCAACCCTAATGCCATGATGAACACGCACGGGCAGGGCGGACGCCCCAGGGTACGTCGACGATATATACGTGCTCGCGAGAAGCTGCTGATAGTCAACCCCCCAGACGATGATTTTGGGCATGGCCACTGTCGCCGCCGGACTCGGCATGTTTTGGCTCCTGCAGTTCAAGAAGCAGGATCGCAGCAATTCTTCCCCCGACCCTGCCGATATGCCCACCTGTATGTTCGCTTCTGTTTTCGTCAATTGTTCGATGGCTGATCCCCCGCCGCACAGGGCAATTCCGCCATGCTCAGCAGGTTCCGCAGTTCAACGATCGCGTCAGCTCTTCAGGAGGAACCGCAACGAATGTGCGCAACTCGAAGGAACCTACCCAGTACAAGACAACCACGACCGCCGATGTCAAGGACACTCCGAGTGGTGGCGGCGCGGCGTCCAGCCAGAAGGCGCAGGATACCGGTACCGATGCTCGCGGCTCTGGCGGCTCTTCAGCCAATTCCATGGATCCTCGCGGGAAGGACAACCACGCACCCAAGCGCGGCGATGATACAAACGACAGAGGCGTCGTCGCTTCTATCCTGACGTCGCTGCATGTAAGGGCTCTACTGAAAATTCGACGATGACACGCTTACTGTGTTATAGGGCGATCCGAAGAAGGGCACGCAGAACGAGAACGGGCACGTTGGTGAACCCGCGCCGACCCCAAGGATGAACGATCGAGGGGGTGTATACACGAAGGTGGGTCGTAGTTCCGCCAATACTGTCCGGCTAATGCCCTAATGCTCTTCGGCCATAGAGCTCTGATTTTGTCGACGGTTACCGCAGGGATTGAGGCAGGTCGCAGATTACTTTAGAGTTTTTTATCAATAGCATTGACTCGGGAGTCGGATGTGTCTGGATCCGTTGGGGCCACCATGTCAGGTGTACCGTTGATATAATTTTATAACCTGTCAATTAGTATGGTGCTATAGTGTAGTGGTTATCACTCGGGATTTTGATGACTTCATTTGGGTCGATCATTCCCGGAACCCAGGTTCGAACCCTGGTAGCACCTCTTGGGATGCTGTTATGTGCTTTTTATCCCCATCGTCAACCATTCAAACAGACGGACCGTATGTAGGACTTCTGCTTGGTCTGACCTTGATCTTGACTGGCTCCACTTAACTAGCATGAGCACAACTCAAGGCACAATACTATCATGTAGATCAGACGAACGGATGGTCTTAAGCTTGGCAATGTTAGCCCACCTGGACGTGCATATGCCAGTTAAGTGCCACGATATCGAAGCAGCGAAGTCAGCGAAGGACCGTCTAAATCGGCGTAACGCTAAAAGTCGCGACGACTCGGATTATTATGCGCGAATGGTCTCAGCGCGATGAGAGTGTGAATATGTAAGTACGCTGTACGTATATGCGAATGTAGAGATTCCGAACGAAGAGCGACCGTGGTCATCATGCTACAGAGTGTGCGAGAGGAGTCCGAGGAATATACAGTGTCGTGGAAATAAAATTAGTAAAGCGAAGGTGGTGCGGGCCTGGGCCGACTGAGTGGGGTAGGAAGTGCGGTTCTAACGAGGAATCCGGGGGAACGAGAGCGGGGGTATTTACATGGAGCGAGGAGAGATCACATCTAGGGAATGGCACTGTGGCGGACGCGTTTGGCGGTGGCGTTCCATAGCCACGCGGCGGCCGCGAAAGCATCACGTAAGGAGTGCAAGAGTGAGAATGAGCGGGGCATGCTGAAGTTCAAGATGACACGGTAGCTCCCGACGATGTTCGAAAGCACGCTAGAAGCGAAAAGAGAGGTGGGCTGTGCGGGGTGGGAGACCTATGTAGCGGGAGTTGTATCAGTCAATGTAAATGCGTGGCGGGGCATGCGAGCGAAGAGGCGAACTTACGACTTCCGGTATGGGCTTGCCATCATCTTTCTTACGACGTGGGAGGAGGTCGACGGACAGCTCGCGGCGGACCTTTTCGCCATCTGCGCCGAAGTAACGCGTGGTCTCGAACGACCACACGAGGTTGCCGATCATCCAGTCGGCAAGACCGTCGATGTACACCTGCAGCTGGGCGTCTATCTCGGGCCCCCATGAGGGGAGGTCCCGGCGCAGTGCCTCGAAGCGGTCGATGCATCCGAAGCAGAGGCTGCCGACGTAGTCGATTGCGGCTTGCAGCTCGAGCCCCTCCTGGTTCTGCACGACGACAATCATGTTGTGCGTGTCGCCTGGAAGAGGTGCGAGACGCGTGTGAGTAGGTGTACATGATATGGGGAAGGCGAACTTCGGCAGATGAGATCCGTGGTACTTACCGCGAGCCTGTTCCACGTTGTAGGAGAAGATGTCCTATAGCCGACGGTAGTAGAGAAGTCAGCGTCGGATGCCATTGAGGGTGCGGAAGAAGATGAGGGATGCGGTACAATGCGAAGAAGACGTACGTTCGACCACTAGGCGCACGCGGGGTCAATCAGTCAGTATACATTCCGGGGCGGGGACCACGGACAAACTCACTGTGACCAGGTCGTTGGCTGCATCGCCGAGACCCTCAACAACGGGGTGCTCCATCACCCAGTCCGGAAGATCCAGCTGCCGGAATGCGTGAGACCATCTTCTCGCGCGCGGAGGCAATAAGTACAAAGGTTCCACACTCACGTTATTCGCATACTCGATCAGGGCCCAGCACGGCTTACATCCGCTTGTATCTCGGCGCATGGCGATGTACGATTCGAGGTCGGGAATGGTGTTGGACGCCTTGTCCTTCACCTGCTGCGTGACGGCGCGGAAGTACAGCTCGAATGTGTCGATGAACCGTTTTTGCGCACTGAGGGAGCCCGTGGCGGTAAGCCGGCTCCAGAAACTGTGGAAGACATCATCAGCTCCGGACTTCAGGCTCAATACATGGAAGGCGAATACGGAGGGGGCAGGGAAGACGACGACTGAATGGAAGCCGGCCATGAGGATACTCACCACTGCGTCAGCGTTCCTACTGCGGACGTCGGCCGAAAGTCGTGGGGATTGCGCAGCGCGCCGATGAGCTCGTTCGCTGTAATCGCCGCTCTCTCGCTGTCCATCTTCTCGCAGATGTCGTCGAGATTGAAGAGGTAGTTGATGAAGTCGCAGCAGACTCGCAGCTGATCGTAGTCGACGAGCGGGTAGCACTCGGCGGTAAGGAGGCCGCCCTTGAGTCCGTCGAAGGCGGCTCGCCTCTTCTTGCTGAGTTGGCACCCGGCAAGGAGCCATTGCTTCGACTCCTCCGAGACACGCTGACCGTGGCGGTTCACGCGCAGGGGGTAAGGGAATGCAGCGATGAGGTCAGGGAAAAATAGCCGGGTCGGGCGTGAGTCGGGAGATGGCGCGGTAGTGACAGTCATGTCTTCGGAGAATAGAGCACAAGAGGCACAAAAGAAGGGAAGGGAACCTGTGAGGAGAACGAACACGAAATATCGACCCCCATGGTCGCAAAGCGGTGTTTTATATGTCGCAGTCACGAGCGAACCGCGGAGGGAGTGAGGAGAAGGATCGCGGCCGGAATATTGCTGCAAAATTCGGAGGAAATTGGTGGTGATGGGGAACACATGCCGGAATTCGCGCAGCGGGGCGCGGTGGGACCTCGAAGCGGTGTGGCGAAATGGCGGGCGTACCACGCGAGGCTTAGGGAGCAAACCTGGAGGAGAGAGCGACCGTTCTCGGCAATGAGATCCCGCCTGCGTGTTTCAGATCGACCGAGTTCACAGAAGGGTCGCGCCGGCTAGCGGTGAAGTTGTGCGAAGTACGAGCCGCCGTGACTGCCTCCGCCAGACAATAAGCTCTCTGGCTGGCGGGAAAAACGGGCTTCTTCGACGTACGGAGAAACGCGAGGGCTTCCACGGTCATTGATGACAATGTCGACTTGGCGCTGCTAAGAGTGCTAAGAGCGTGGTGGAGGATGTCAACCGTCAGCTTGGACGACACGAAGCGGCTGTCGCTAGCGGCTACTCACATGTATTCACAGCGCGAATCCAGGGCAGCCCTGGGCGATTGGCGCATCCTAGCATCTCTACAGTCGTCTGTGACAGATGTTCGTGAGTGCTGCAGCTTCCCCAAATGCACCCGGAGTAACTGGGAGATGGCGCGGAAGAAAGGTGGCAAGTGCGAAGTGCGACCAACAGGGTTACAGCTCGACGCTGAAGATGATCATCTTGACCACAGTGAAGATGGTGAGTCACTCAGAGTAGCTAACCGCCACGTTTGGAGCCCGTGTGGCTTTCTGGGAGCGTACAGCCGTCGTGGGATAGGCTGCCACGAACTGCGACAGCTTGCGATGGCTTGCGATGACCAGATTCAGAGGCAGTGAGCACAAACGCCGAACCAAGATCTGGAAACTCGGGAATCTCCCAATGGATCTCGCAACGGAATTTGTTGAAACACACGCTGGCGGAAGCTCGATAGCGCTATGAACGTGAGAGCGGACGCTTAAGTACCCGGTCGCGATTTCGATCCCAAGTAATGAGCATGAGACATACCGTCATGCTGACTTGCACCAGGGTTGCGCAGGGAGAGTGGGGGCGAGGTAGAGGGGTTAACTCTGACCAAGACGCTAGGCGAGGTAGAATGAGTCGCAAAGGTTCCGTCCGCTGTTTTCGCCCGAACGCGCCATGCGACGTTCGCGTAAGTTACGGGATCGGAACCGCGGCCTCATTGCATCATCCGGAATATTGAGCTCTACTAGGCTCTACTGCTAAAATGCAAATTGCATCCGGGAAGGCTCCATACTGGCTCCAGGAGTCCAGCCTGTTTGCCGTAGCCGGGTCACGTAAACGGCAGGATGGTTCCTGGAGGCGTCGTGAGGTGCAGATCGCGGCCACCGAACGTTCGTGCCAAATCTGTCGCAAATGTATGCCAGTCAGACGGGTGTCGCACACCATGCCATGAGGCTGTCCGGCGAGTAACTGACCTGCGAGCGAAAGGAGCGGGTCACCGACTGAACTTTGTCCAGGACCCAGGTACGACCAAGGGAGACTGTGATGAGTGAGAAGGACGATCTACCAACACGCGAGACACCCGTCAAGGGTCGCAAATTGAGAAAAGTTGCGAGTTCGACCCTCATACGTACAAGACCGCTCACATGGCTTCCATTCGCAGCGGAAAACCCAGCGGCGGCCGCCAGATTGACTTGGCCCACACCGAATCTTGCGAGGAGATCTGGGGACCAGACGGATACAGACGGACACTTTCAATATCGTTAGAGTCCACGCACGCGGCGAGTATGCTACATACCTAGGCGAAGGCGGTGTGTTACATCGTAGAAAGTGGCTTCGCTCAGAGACTTGGCGGCTGAGGGAGGTTGTTGCTCATACACGTTATTCGCGGTTTCGATCCGAAGGCAGCCACAGTGGAGTAAATCTCCTCTTGTCCTGCGGTTACGGTGAATCAGCGCGTGCTTTGGCCGAGTGTGTTCCTTGAAAACCCCGTAGGGGCAAATGACGACGTGCAACTTACCTAAGAATCTCACCACAGCAACAATAGTAGACATGTCCCTGAGAACCAGGGCGGCGAAAGATCGCAGCATTGTTTGGAGTCGCAGAGCGACTATGTAGCGAGGTCGTCATTGGGTGGCTAAGGGCTAGGGCTGACAATGTAACGGACCCACGGGCAAACAGCAGCTATAATCCCGCTAGCCTGTGAGAATGTAACGGCAAGATATCGTCAGGCAGGGAGTGCGACGACAGGGTACCCTCCAGATACGAATGGAAGGGAGTAAGAAGTGATGCGTACTTTGTCATACTAGTCCTGCAGTTGACATGACTCATGAGCGAAAATGAGACCTTGACGGCCCTGTGATATGGGGCACATGGGTACGGCAACGGTGCGAAATTCTCGGGGGTATGCAAGAAGATGCCGCTGCTAGCCCCATCCTACGAGGCTGTACCAGGAAAGATGGCGACTGTCAAGAGGAAGTCCGAGGGACGCTCCCGCGGTATTCTCTTCGTATTTGCCACAACGGTAATCTACATCACGCAGCAATGCATCAGTACCGGCCGCACCTGAGGTCAAATTTTCTCACTACCGTTATAAGCTGG